ATTGACTATTCTTTTCCCATTTTTTTCTCCTTTCCTTTCCCTCCCCATCTCCTCTCTTTCTCTGCTATGTATTTGGAACTTGGACCCTTTAAAACTCCATTTATCCGAAGAAGTGGGTTGTGCCCGTGAAAGCTCGTGTATAATTTACATTTTTTGTTAGTCTCTAAGGGTATGTCTACACAGCAACTTTATTTTGAAATAACTAGCGTTATTTCGAATTAACAGTCCGTGTCTACACAGCCGGCAGTTATTTCAAAATAATGTCGAAATACTGTCAAGCTGGAGGACTTCTTACTCCAACTCCTGTAACCCTCATTGTACGAGGAGTAAGGGAAGTCGGAGGAAGAATGCTCTATTTTGAAATAAGTGCTGTGCAGACGCTCCTAGTTTTGAAATAAACTAGTTCGAAATAAGATGCGCAGTTCACGTAGCTCCGTTTGTGTAGCTTATTTTGAGTTAAGCCCTCCTGTGTAGACACACCCTTACAGACTAATATGGCTACCCCTCTGAAACTTGAATACATGAGAATTATACATTTTCTTAAGCAAGTCTTTTTCTTAGTAACCTTCTCAAACAATGTCTATGCTGGTCCTACACAGTGCCTGTCCGGCAAACAGGGAAGGTGGTTACCAATTTATAGTTGGCTTCTCTTCTTTTGGTTTGGATTTTTTGTTTGTTTTTGGTCAGTTTCCCTGAAACAAGGTCTTGGTTGCTCTGTAACCCCTCTGGTTCACAGTCCCATAATTCTGAGTGGAGCACTGCTGCTTTTTTTAGAGATTTAAATTAAGGAATTCCCACCACCAGGTAATTTAATTAGCTTGATTTTATTTTTATGCTACCTTTCTTCTCAAGGAGTTCCATATCTTCAAAGCCTGCCTAGTGGCTAATGACTATTTTTTAAGTATTTTAGAAGGGGCTAGGAAGGGGGTTGCCAAAAATCATCCCATATTTACTTATCAATTATTCACCCTGGCTTTTGCGTGAGCTGGCTGCTGTTAGATTACGCTCACCTGCCAGTTCAGGTTCCACAATGGAACTTGACTCATATAATATTTACTTTTGCATGAGCCCATTTTTACTGACCAATAGGTTGAGTACTGATTGTTCCCGCAGTCCAGTCCGCAATCCTTGCCAGTTTTCTTCATCCGTGGACTCCAGTTCACTTCTGCTTAAAAGGACCTGCTCCCAGAATGCTCCACTTAGTCAGTCATGTTTAAGTCATGTCAAGTCATGCTCACATCCGTCATTCAGTAGGGTCATGCCAGTTTGGCATCCCAGCAATTCCCATCTCACCACATCGTTCATTATCATCACTCCTTGTGTCAGCTCGAAAAGTGAACCTCATGCCCTGCAAATAACTGGCCAATGGGGATTTGGAGAGGCTCTGGGAGCATGCAGGGTTCTGCACTGGCATACGGAATTGCAGAATTAGGACCATAGCTTGTAAACTCCTTCTAGCACAAATCATAGACCCTCTCACAGAGGGGAAGTGTGAGCTCAATGTACCAGATGAATTCTCAGGTGGTCGCATTGATCTCTTGCTCTGCATAGGATTACAAGTCAATCCCTTTAAAATCAACAGGAGTTAATAGTTAGAGCCCTGCACGGATACAAAATTGGCATCCGTGTCCGCAAACATTATCCACAGATATCTACAGCCGTATCTACCGGATGCAGGTATCCATGGATAGAAAGCGGATATCTGCAGATTTGCAGGGTTCTAGCTACAAAATTTGTGTCCACAAAATGAACTACCGATATCCATAATCATGGATTTACAGGGCTCTATGGATAGTATCTTTGGGCATGGAAAGAGGAGAAGAGAGCCCCTTATTTTATTTGTTCAGCAATGCATCTGGTAACCGTGTTGGCTCTGTGGAATGATGGGTTTGTTCAATCTTTGCTTCCTGTGTGGATGAACAAGATGGAAAGCATGTAGCCAATTTACACACAAGTCATTTCAACTTTACACCCCGCAAAGAGTTCCAGACCAAACAAGCCTCACCCATTCCATTCTGTTCTGTGATAACACACTTAAGGCATTCACATATGCATGAGCCAGTTTGTGCCAGGAAAAAAAAATATTGCCCAAGATTTACTGCTGAGAAGAAAAAATTATAAAGGTATTTCCTGTTGACAACCATAAAATAAAAAGTCCTTTTCAATACTGACTTGTAATGAAATTCTTGAAACCAAAATCTGCATGAGCAGTCAGAGGTTCAGTTTGCAGATGGCGGTTTGGAATTAAGGGGCTTTGGAAATCTCACTGCAGAATTTCAGTGGAACTAATAGACTACAGAGGAAAAACATTTTTGGGTGCTTTCTGTGCATTTGGAGATGCAGTGCTGTAAGGACCTGATGCATCTGCTTGGATTGTAAGCTGTTTGGTGCGGAGACCAGCTTTTGTTCTGTAGTATGTTCAACACCTAACACAGTGGGGTTCTACTCCATAACAGGCGTTTCTCCAGGCTATTGCAATACAAGTAGTTATTATTATTATTATTATTAATAATAATACATAAATAATAATCCAGTGGATGTCAATAGGGATCTGGCCTGGAGTGATCTGAAAACTGCAAGTGTATTTATATATTTGTTTTGGAATAAGAGATATGAGAGTAACAACTGATTCGTAACAAGCTATGGTAATAGTTGATTATCTGTAATATTCCCCACTGCTAGGCTCTTTCTTTTTCCCTTTTAAAACTGCTGCATCCTAGAAGCTGAGACATGGGAATGAATGAATCTGGAGGATAATATACTGACCACAGATTCTCAGCAGAAGAAGGGACCCCCATGGAAAGAAAAACAGCCTGAAACGATAGCTCTTGAGAGTGGTGAACTATTTTGTTCATCTCTGTGGTGTTCTCATCCCGTCATCCCCCTTTAATTAGTAGGATTGCTCCCACATTGGGTCCGGGAGTGGGGCTCAGACCTCCCCCATTCCCTTCTTCTTAGAGGCAGCATCTGCCCAGATGCCAGCTCATTCAGGAGCCCGGAAGACGGGCCTCAGATGCCCTCCAATGACAGCCCTAGGACACTTAAATTAGTCCCAGAGAACCTTATAAGAAATTGTTGACATGAAAACAAGCGGGAACATGCTGCCATGCAGGTCAGATAAGGGCTGCTCTTTGTCTCTGCCCAGCAATCATTTGAAATCACACAGACCATTTTCACTGTGTCTGTTCTTTAGAATCCACATCGTAGAAAGTCCAGTTGCCATTATCCAGTATCTAGTGGCTCCTGTATAGCAAAGTGGGAAACGAATCGCTGTGTGAACGCTACCTCAGTGTGCTTCAGATTCGGTGCCTGATCCAGCACCTGCAGAAGGCAATGGAAATATTTCTACTAAGGATGTTAAATATCGATTAATTTGCGAGTCGAGTTGTCAGTGGAATTTCCATCGACTACTCAATAGGCACTTCCGTATTCCTCCTTTGAAATGTGCAGGAGCCTCCGCTGGGTCTCTTGTACATTTCAAAGGAGGAATGCGGAACTTTGCATGCAGCCTGGGGCCAGCAGGAAGTCCCACTGACTCTGGGCTGCACGTGGGCCAGCTTTGAAATGTACCCAGCAGGTGCTCTTCTGCATTTCAAAGTGGAAGCACCCTTATGGAGCCTGGAGCCAGCGGGGAACTCTGAGTCCCTCACTGACCCTGGGCTCCATGTTGCACTGCTGATTTGAAATGCCACGAAGAGCCTGGGGTTGCTTCCAAGCTGATCCCTGGCGCTGCGCGGCATTTCAGTGGAACCCGGGATCAGCTGGCCCCTCCCCAGCTGACCATGTGTTCCGTGTGGCATTTCCATGGGCTCCACTCGGCGCTGCTGCTTTGAAGTACCCTCTCCCCCCCCCCTTTGCTGCTTCTATTTGATAGAGGCAGCAAGGAGGGGGGGATCGAGTAGTCAACTAGTCAGCTGACTATCCGATTAAGCATTTGCTTATCGGATTGTCGACTAGTTGACTAGTCCTTAACATCCTTAATTTCCACTGGCTTCATAGACATTGGGATAGGCCTCTGCAAGGCACAGAGGAGCAGGAGGGCTGGAACAATTTGTATAGCGGGATGCTGGGAGTCATTGAACCAAACTTTAAACCCTGGATATAATGGAAACCATTTAAAGCAGGGGCGGGGAACCTCAGGCCTGGGGGCCGGACACAGCCCCTGACATGCCTGGATCTGGCTCCTGAGGCTCAGGGCTTCCTTCCCTCAGCATTGGGGAGCCCGTGCTGGCATTCCATACCCCCCACTGCCCCACCACAGGGTGGGAGCACACCAAATCTACTAGGCTAGGCCCCCCTAAGCTCTGATGTGGGAGGGGAATGGTTGGAGCATGTTTCTCCTTCTCAGATGGGGGCCCCATCGGTGAGGGTTTTTTGTTTTTACTTTTCACTTGTGTGTGGCCCCCAACTGATTTTTTTCTGTGGGTCAGCGGCCCCCAGCCCAAAAAAGGTTCCCACCCTTGACTTAGAGCCGTGGGGTGCTGTCCCCCTAATTCCGACACCGATGCAGATGAACATGTTTGTGTACATACTGCTTCACAGAAATGGAAGGCTGGAAGGGAAGCCAAGAGTTCATTGAATGTGTCTTCCCCCTATCCTGAGGCAGGATTTCTTCCACACGGAGAGGGCTTCCCTAAACTTAAAATGGGGCTTGCCCCTAAAACCTTTGCTCTCCCTCAGAACAGGCAAAGCGTTAATGGTGTTGATATTTCTCTCCCCTTTGACCTCTTCATCTGCACTCTGCCCGTTTCTCCACCTCGGGCACTAATGTGCACAGTTAAACCTCGTAGCAGCTCCAGCGCTGCGGCACATTTCCAGGTAGCGTGGTGGTGGCCACTAGCGCAATGGCGTCTACTTGTTTTCAGTCTAATTGCCCCACCAGCATGACTCCTGAGACTTCTGGAATCCACACGTTTGGGTAGAAACAGCCTGACAGGAGACGGCAGCGTGAAAGCTGTTCCGCTAAATTAAAACCCGCTTGTGTCTCTTCTCTTTCCTAGAGTGCATGAACTGCACGAGACTGACGGATATGACGGAGAGGCTGAACACGCTGGAAGCCAAGGTAAGCACATGGAACTTTTTTTTTTTTTGAGAGAGAGAGAAAATAGGGACTTTAGTGCGGGGAAAAGATGCAGCCTGAGCAAAAACTACATTTACATTGTTACCCGCACAAAAGTCTCACCCGCTGTAGGGGCACCCACTCTTACCCATTCCTAGGGCTCAGTGCAACCCTCTCAATAAAGGTACCCACCCCCACTCATCTACAGGCTTAGGCGTAACCTTGCTTGCGGGCTCTCTTCCCAGTGAAAGAGCCCTACACAGTAATATCCCACTTCATCTCTCTATATGAATTATCAAACACATACATACATACAGGGCTCACCACTCCCAATGAGACGGATGAACTTGTCTTGATGGCCAGTCAGGATCAGGTCCATCTGGGGGACTCCAGTTTCAGCCCAGTGTCATGGGCACAAAATTAAGGTCTGGCAGCTCTTATCTTGGGGCTGTGCCTTGGGAGTTGCTTCCTAAAGAAATTCCTTTGGGGCCTCAGTTTATAGATTGAAACTAGAGGCCTGCTTAGCTGTGCCTTCACCAGTTATTTTACTAAAATTTTACTAACCAGTCATAACATACTGCAAAAGAATTACCTAACCAATGCTACCCAATCACTTTAATTGATTTACACCTAGCAAAATTAATTATACAGCAGTCAGAAACAATTAAAAACCAGACCACTCATACAGACAAGCAATAGGAAAGTGAGGACTATAATCACAGAATGAGGGTTCCACAACCTCAACTCTTGATAAACAATTTCTTGCCAGATGAAACGCTGTCAGACTAAGTTTTCTTTACTCATCTTGAGATCTGTTTCTTTATCCAATGACTGTGGGCGCCATTAGGATGGAATCTCCTTTTTAACAGCCTGGTGTGGCACTATTTGAATGTAATTGAGCTGGAATGCGAGTATGTGACTCCAGGCTTTACAGCTACTGGCTGCTGCTCTTCAGTCTGGCTGCAGATGAAGGCTTTAGATCTTCCAATACGGCTACCGGCCTTCCAGTATGAAAAACTGTATTGTTACAACATTACTTCACCGAACTGCCCACTCAGATCACACAACCCTGTTTTGTAATGGCCACCTCGTCAGAGTAGGTCTCCACTGCAATTGGGATTGTATGGATAGGCATATCCGAGCTGGCTCACTAAATATATTCCTAGGTGTCACCAGCCCGTGCCATTACTGCTATCGTCACCTTGTTGTTTTTAGCCTGATACCCTCCCCAGCTTTGCTCAAGCTATGCCCCTACCTATGCTACAGTAGCACCTTCCTATTGCTACATAGACATACCTTCAAGATGGGAGGTTAGTTCAGTTTCTCTGTTCGTTCCCTTGGGCATCTGGTATTGGCCACTGTTGGAAGACAGGAAGCTGGGCTAGATGGACCTTTGGTCTGATCCAGTACGGCCGTTCTCATGTTCCATTGTTTAGTGCCTCTGCTGAGGCTGATAATAAGAGGGCCAATTAGTACTTACTGTGTGGGTGGGATTTGTTTTTGTTTTGTTTTATTTTGGGCCATGTAGACATCTTCCCACTAGAACAGAACTCAAAATCAACTGATGTAATGATCAGCTGATGTAATACCATTAAGGACAAAAAGTCTAAAGCAAACTTTCACATACAACCCACAGTTGTACTGTGGCCGTATGTGTAAATGACAGTTAATAGAAATTGCAGCTCATTGTTCTTAACCGAACCTCCTAGGGTTTTATTCTTTGCATTTAAGAAATATGGGGGCAAACGTATATTGGATTCAGCTCAAGAAAAATGGTTCCCAACCTTTTCGAGCATACTATTTTCAATCTATTAAAATGCCATGGATCTCCCCCCCAGATGGGGGGGGGGGGAGAGAAAAAAAGAAAAGAAAAAGAAAAGTAAGTACTACGGTGGACCCAATCCTTATTTTTAAACTTTCCATGGACCCCCCCTGCAGTATCGTGGACCACAGGTTGGGAACCACTGCTCTAGAACAATGGGAGGCAAATCAGTAGTGAATTCAGTCTCTGAGGCTATATCTACAGTACAGGTTTTGCCGGAAGAGGCAATGCAAATGAAGTGCGGATTAGCGTTTTCTCACGCTTCGTTTGCATACTCCCTTCCAATGCGTTTTTGCCCTAGGGGTGCTGCTGTTTGCAGACTTACCTATTAGGGACTGTCGACACTTAAATCACATGTAGGTAGTGTGTGAATTTGAAGTGCAATAGCTCTTCCAGAGTAACTCCACATATTAGCCAGCCCTACGTCTTGCATTCCATTTGTTGATGTACCTGGATGAAAACTTTGTGCATTAGCATTTGTCTCTTCACCTATTTTACATTCAATTGGTGCTCTATATTTTTCATCCATTGCTCTAATGCCCCATTGTTCGCGTGTGTGCTGTTCAAATCTGCATTCCTTCTTTCATCCCTTTCCAAGATGTTAGGAGGGTTGAATGCACCATACAGTGTTGCAAAACCTTTTGCAGGTGGAATTCAATATTGTGGGTTTTGTGAAATAGTTTTAACGTGTAGCCACCAGGAATCATAAAAGCAGCTCCCATAAGCAATGTTGGTTCATTCCTTTTGATCTTCAGTTCCTTCGGTGACAGCCCAGGCCCGTTTGTTAGATACAGCGCTTGGATCTCCTCAATGCTTGTGCAGTTAGTTAATGCTTATCTGTGATCTGTCATAGGAATTCGGAGAATCTCCTGGGGGTAGGGTGGGATGTGGGATGGTTTTGCAGACAATAGATGATTTGCTGATAATTGGGGAATTGTGTCTGACGAGAAGTAAAATGAGACACACTTTCTGGAACTCCCTCAAAGACATGGGAGGTTGTATTTCACCATGAAGAAAACAAGAAAAAACATTCCAGGGAGTTGAATTCCAGTGAAAACAATGGTCATGGTGTGAGGGAAGATTCTGTTTTTGATTCGGACAGAGATGAGCTGAATGTTTTTTGAAGCAGTAAGTGCTGGCAGGCTGCTTTTCCTTGGCAGTGAAGAGCGTTAGAGGAAAGATGGACGCTCCTCTTTTAACTACCCACAATGGGTGTGATCCAAAGCCACTGGGAAACAAAGTGAGAGACACCCGGACTCCATGCCTCCATGGCTGCCAGCACTGTTGGGAGTTTGAAAATGAAAATCTAGGACTCACTTAAGGCACCGGCAGTGAATGCACCATTCGATTCGTAAGAAAGATGCCGTGACTAAGCAGAGGTGGTTAGGAAATTAAAGGAAACCCACAGCGGGAGACAGCGAAATGGAGAACAACCCTGACTGGTTCATCTCTGTGAATCCTTTGCTCTTTGTTCACCCTCCGGGAGAGGTGACTTGGAGCCTAATCCGCCAACCATGGACCCAGTTCTGTTTTTTCCTGTGCTGATTTTACACTAGTTTAACTTGGTTGATTTCAGAGGCATGACTCCGGGTTTACACTGCTGTGAGAGCAGAATCAGCCATGTATAAGGGGCCTGATCCAAAGCCTCTGGAAATTAGTGTACAGGTCCCTATAAGGTCCAGCACTAAATGGAGGAGTAAATCGATAAGAAACTTATCTCGAGACAAGACCAGAGATGCTGTGTGTCAACACAGAAAACCCGGCCAAAGCTTACTTGCCTAGCTCTGCAAAAAAGAGAAGTCTTTGGTCAGCAGGCTTGTAATAGTGGGATAAGATACAAGTCTTGAGAGGCTCTGAGTTGTACTGTGCATGCCCACAAAGGATTTGCAAAAGATGAGGCTGCAATTCATTTTTTTTATTCTCCTACGAACAAGTCTCCACCAATTATCTTCCTTGACTTGGCCTTGCTCTTCTTTTAGAGGCGGCAGAACTCAATCAGAAGCCAAACGAAACCTCTCTGGCCCCTTGCGGAGTCTGAAAAAACCTGAAGTCGAGGTTCAGAACAATTGGGTTTCACTGGTTCTTTTTGTGGCCCTCTGAACTTGGGACACAAAACAGAAACCCCCAAGTACTCCAAGAGACACGGCTGCCCCGGTATTTCTGGCTGGTGAAGAGGTAGACACAAGAGGCCATCTCTCAAAAGGCTGTTGGGAGGTGGGGGTTTTAGCTTGATTTGAATGATCTTTTGGGGTTAGGTGGCTTGGCCCAGCAGCCAGACTTCTTCTGTTTTAGCCATAGGCTGAAGGGAGATTAGCTCAGTGCTGGGCAGCGGGTAACTGTCTGGGACTGGGCCAAGATCTGGAAAGTGCGCGCTGCTTCGCTTCCCCCCTGTATTCCGCCCAGATTGTGACTTCCCACCCCCGACCGCCGGCAGTGTCAGAGAGCTGCTGTTGCCAGCATACCTGTCTCCCCCGGCTTAGAGCTCCGCTCCCTCTTACGTGTGGCCGGAGATGGGAGGGAATCGTGTGCATGTGTGTGAAACCGATCTCTCCCCGGCCAGTGCTTGGCTCCCTTCTCTAGCCATGTGACCCTGGCAACAGGATCCGAGTGACTAATGAAGAGGAGCGGAGTGGTGATGTGGACACACCCACGCCATTGAGACGACCCAGAGGAGCTGTGGGCAGCGATCCCTCCATCACTCACACCTCCCTCTCTTTCCTCCACGTCCCGCCGGGCTTCACTCTCCTCTTCCCATGCCAGCCTCTCCCTTAGTCTTCCTCATCTTTTCACCACTCCCGGGGGTCCCCAGAAGTCTTCTTTCACCAGCATTGGCTTTGGGGAGCTCCCTCAGACGCGGATTCCTTCTCCTCAGCTTGCCGGTCTGCCCACATAGCACCCGGAGCATACTGAGGGGAAGCATAGCTGCGTGGCAGGCAAAGCAAAACTTGCCCCCTGGGGAAGGTTTTGCTTTACAACCGACCTGCGGAAGAAAACATCACGAGCCGGGGAGCAGAGGGAGTTGCCAGAGTGAGTGGGGGACAGGGAGACACATTAGGCAGCAGTAAGGTCCCTGGGACCTAGTTTCTCTCTTTCAGGCTTATCTGGGACAAAAGGGGAAAGTCTCAGCTCTGTGGGAATCACTTATCGTGGTCCGCAGCATTTGCAAGGTGTGCGGCTTCTC